GGTACGCATCAATGGTGTCTTTGCCATAAATGTCCATCTGTCTGTACGGGTTAACGGAGACGACTACTTCTCCGATGTAGGTGTAGATACGGCCCTTCTCAAACCTGTCCGAATAAAAGAAAATACAGACTGATGGCATACTTCACATGTACATGTGTCATGTAGATGTACTGGATGCCTGAACAATAAAGATACTGTGTGTGCATCTCTATATATATGTAGTGTGTATTTAACTATTTCATTTATTCAATCTTTAATTGAAGTGGGAAACAAGGTGTAAAGCCTCATGACATTTTCACACCACCCATGAACAAAAAAAAACCTTGAGCTGTAAGCTCCATAAAAGATCATGCACCTTTATGTGACACGTAACTTCCTGACAGGAAGTGGCACAAGTGTGTGTACACACCGAGAGCAGGAAATGAAACTTGCGGTTCAAAGGGTGTCAAAGCGTTGTGCCACCTTGTGTAGCTCTGTTGAGCTGGGAGAGGTAAAACTGACGTGTCACGAGGGTTAGTGGAGCGAAATGGAATACTGTTTTTATGACACATGAGCTCTGTCCCAGCACAGGGCCGATCCTCTGAAGGTTCACATTTGAATACCAAATTCTTCATAACGGGGCTGAACAAGGCCGAAAGCTTCAGAGGACACAACCAGTACAGTATACTGGTCAGCTGTTTACTGGATCACTTATGTGGTTCTTGTTAGCCAGCAGAGTTTGAAAATCTCATGCGATCACAGAGTTGTAATCCAGAGAGGATTTCAGTCGCAGTTTGAAACAGTTTGAAACACAGTAACTTTGTAAAACACTACAAAACTACTTGGTTAGGTTAAGTACAAAAAACAGCATGGTTTGGCTTAAAATGACTGAGAAATTGTAACTAAACAAAACTACTTGGCTATGTTTCGACCACCAAAGTACATACTATACACGGGACATGGACAGCAGTCTCCTGGGTGAAAGTCGTTTTTGACCCACCCACCACCCAGACCTCCTTTGATGGACTCATTTGAAGGAACGTAATTTCTAGGAGACAGGGCTGAAAATGGGATGCATGGTGTTGCTCAAACTACACATACAGTATGTAAAGTAGTTGGTGTTGTCATGTTACTTAAACGTCACTTTTTTATCACCTCTATACTTTTACTTTTGAATTTTTTAATGTAGGGATTTAAACTTTTTACTTTATTAAAGGAATTTTGAATACTTCGGAAACCAGTGGAGATGTCACAACTCTAATTGTAAACTAATCCCAATTTCCCACCGGTATTTACCATAGACTGTAAATGGTATATACCAGTGGTGGGCCGTCAGGGCCAGCAAGGCCTTCTCTGCTGGCCTAAACAGAATCACAAACTTATAGCTATTTTATAGTTTAATAATTTTTCTTAAATACACTACATGTATTGTAATTTATAAAAAATATTTTCCCGTTATCTTATTTTCTCATGGCACAGCTACTGTCTTCCTCAGTTGCTCTGCTTCCAGTGCAGCTTGTTTTAAGTAGAGCTTTTATCCAATCAGAGTTCACCTCTGTGTCTCTAGGTAAGAAGAGAGGCAGAGGCCTGCAGACTCTCAAGTGCAGCCATGTGCAGTTTAAGTGAATGGGGACGATATTGTTGATTGTCATAGTGTTCAACCAATCAGATCTTTAGTTTGACATGTTGGGCGTATTCTTTGACGTAGCAGAGCCTGCTAGCTGGCATACAAGTACGTCAGTATTAACATGCAGCTCAGTTTTCAGGTGCAGCTCTGCAGTAAGGTGCAGCGTGCGCTGTGATTGGTCAGTGGGCGAGCACGTGACTATTGGAAAATGAAACTTAATAGCCAGCAGAGCTTAGTCGGAGTAGTAAGAGTTCAAATTGAAAGATATGGAAGAAATGATGACATTTTTTGCATTTTGCTTTGTGTAGATCATTATTTTTTTACCTAGCTTTGTTTTTTTAACACTCAATGGCTGAAGGAGGAGAAACGGATTTGTGAGTTAGGATTTAACCGTGGGATGAAACTCTTTGTCAACAAAGAAAGAAGCATGGAGTTTGGTAAGTCAACTGCGTTTGTTTTTTTACATCTAATATCTGAATGGCCCTTGAGTGTTCAGCAGAATGCGTGTTGCTGCTGTTGTTTTCCCGTTAAGCTAGTTAGCGTAGCCTCCCAGAACACTTGTGGAGCCCCCAGCTGTTTTTTGTTGTGTTTTTTTTTGTTCTGGTTCAGAGGTCACACAGATCATTGTCTCCTACATGAGCGCAGAAAACATTATATTTCCCACAATTTAAGCTTCTGTATTTTCCAAATGCACTAGTATTATTCAAACGTATTGTTCGGTTTGTAAGCCTCGTACCGAACGGTTTAATACGAATACGTATATAGTTACAGCCCTAGAAACGAATAATAACCGTAGCTGTGGCGCCATCATGAGGTTATAAGGTGGTATTTCAGCTTCAGGACAGCAGTGAAGGCCCAGGTATAAAATGCACGGCCCGCCACTGGCATATACACGTAGTTGACCCCTGTCCCCGTTTATGAACTTGAATTTTTTTTTTTCTTGTTTGAGCTGACAAGAAGAATCAGACAGTACTGTTACTTTTGGTCCGTAGGAATCTAGACTTTGTCATTAGGAAAGCAAAAGTTGCTTCAGTCTAGAGTTCAGCTTCACCGCCTGTGTGGGCAGAGTCCTTGAGGGTCCCGCCCCTCAACTGAGACACAGCTACAGATTATTATAGCTGCACTGAGTCACAGAGAAGGTTGTTCATATGTTGTACATATCTTTTCTGAAAGCAGAAATTGCTCTACCACTGCCACAGCTAATATTGTTTTCCTCTTTGTAACTGTTTGGTGCCAGACAAATAAAGAGAAGTCCCTCCAGTCTTCTTCCTGGTAATCTATTGACCAATCAAGTAACAAGTGGCTGAGTCCATGTGAGAATACATCTGATACGAGTCAGAGGGAAATCTAAGAGCACAAATCCTCTGTTGCCTTTTTTTTCTTCAATTTACTGTTACATTGAAGATGTCAGTTTTACCACTTCACATTTTAAACTTTCCAATCAAGTCTTAATCTCTGGTAGTTAAGGCAACAAATCACCACCGTGGCTTCATGTTTTGGGGATATCATGCTGACAGAGAGCCCGACATGGGACAAAAACTGTAGTGGTGTAAAATAAGCAAATGAAAACACTGCTAAAATGCAAAAAACAAAATGCAAACACCTGAACTTACAGGTAGAAAAGGAAAAGTCAGCGCAAATCATTAAAGTCGACACACAACAGCACAAACTTAAGTGCCGGCTGACAAGTCTGATCAAGCTGCGTGATGAAACTAAGCTTCATACATTATTGGCCAAGTAACAGACTTCAAGTCAGGGCAACTGTTGTCTCTAAATCTACAGTTTATTTTGATATTGTTTGACATATTCGTCCTCAGGTGACTGTGTGATTTCTGATAGTCTGAACTGAGGACACGATGTCCCATGCTGAAAGACACACAGGAAGCGAGACTGGACATGGACTCTGAGACAGTCAAGTGTAAAGTCCCCAAAGCATTACACCGAAAGAGAGAGAGAGAGAGTGGAAAGGTCACAAAACAAGACCGAAGAAAAGTGACATACGCTCATTAACTGAACCTGGGGTTCGGTGAGAGCAGCTGTGTGAGGTTTGCCATGTACTCCATTGGCTTCACATAACAGCCGGCGTGTAGTGCGCTGATGATCGCATCAATCACAAGTTTACAGCCGAACTTCCAAAAGGGGTGAGCGGGAAAACTAGAAGTGGCTGTTGCTCGTCTCTTTTTCCCCTTCATGTCTCATCTTCATGTCCTCTCTTACTTCAGCCAAGTCGCCAAGATAATGTCAACTTGGTAGTTTAGTGCTATTATAGAATAGACATATTTATCTTACTTATGTTTGATCTCATTTTAAGATACGTTAAGGACTGTTATTCCTTCATATATGAGGTATGTATGAAGCGTTACCCTGTGACACCCGGCTGCTTCCCCTCCCTTCCTTCGCTCTAACAGTATCTCAGGCCTCTTACCTCAGCTTCAGATTCTCCATGAACTGCTCCATCGTCACCTCATCCAGCAGCACAAAGTCTGACTTCCCAAACTCCAGGCCCTCCAGCTCCGCCATCCCTGTCTGTCTTCAACAAACACCAAAAACAGAAAATAGAAGACGGACAAGACGCAGAGGAACAGAAAGCCGCTAAAGGAGGAAGAAAGAGAAGTACGGTCGACTTCTGGGGCCCCGGTAGTGTAGACAGTATGTGTGTGTGTGTGTGTGTGTGTGTGTGTGTGTGTGTACTGTGGGCGTGGTGAACTCTATGGTGGATTTGAGGGTGTGCTTGAGAGCTGCGGTCTACAAGCTACAGCACGTCACCCTGTCAGTCAGCCCGTGCCCCCATGCAGATCTATATAAACAGCAGGAGGCTATCTTTAAGAGCTCGTACCACTTCTGCATCCTCCTCCGTCTCGCTCTTCCTGCCGCAAAAGGCCTTCTAAACAGAGCGTCGACTCTCACTGCGATTGCAAAAGTTGGGGGTAGAAAATGGCCTTTATCTCCTGGGAGGGATCGTGGCATTTCTTTTCTTGCCTTCACATTGGCAGTACAACGTGTCCCTTAGGGTTCCTGACTCCCAGAGTCAAGCTGCAGCGTGAGAAACCTTTTTTGGTGTGTGGAGCCAAATGGTTTAGCTGTATTGTTTGTCATGTAAGACGAATGTGTGTCGGTGTGTGTGTGTGTGTGTGTGTGTGTGTGTGTGTGTGTGTGTGTGTGAGTGTACGGGAATGCTGACTAATGCGTGACCTTTTTCTTGACCTTTTAAAGAAAAGTCAACAGGATTTTTACTTTGGATTATTGCAGAAAATAAGCTCTGTGGCAAACAGAATTGTATGATGTTTACACGTTTTGTTCAGCAACATAATCTTCACAAATGAACAGCACTTTTCTGGTTTTTGAAGTGTGAATGCAATCGGCAGAAGTAAAAAGCTAACTCTAGGCTACAAACAAACTACACCGCGGTCACATGACTTCACCTCACCACCACTAAGCAAAGGCGGACTAGTGTTTGGCGTGATGACTAGATTAGTCGTCTCAATAAGCCACTATTTTAAGACACGTAAAAACTTCAGCTTCATATTTTATATCGCGGAACAAAAGGTTAAAATATCTTGAACTTGTGTGAATCACAGACCTTGTTTCAGGCATCTAACCAAAACCCATTCAGTTTGGGGAACCAGAAGTCAGCAGTTTAACATTGTTACATCCACCAGTTTGTTAATGTTGACAGTCATCCTTAATCCTCTCAAAGGCCATTGTTCCTCTTAACTCGTAGTTTTGTGATTGTTGATTTGTTTACTGGTAACCAAGCGTAGCTGTCTGAGGCTAATGTTTTGCTAATGCAACATAGCGACTGTTAATTCTGTTGGGCTTCTGTGTTTCCTCTTTTTACTCTTTACTCTTGGGAACTATGTGTACGTTAAAGCGATTATTTATTGGAAAAGAAGAAAAAATGAGAAGTACAAACTGAACTTGCGTGTGATTCATCTCCGTGACAACTAAACAAACTCAATCCGGTGATGGAGACCATGTGATGAGGGGGGGGGGGGGGTGTGTAATGCTTTGCTTTAAGTCATTTGGGTTAGCAGACCTTTAATTGGTCGCTAAATCCTCCAAATAAACAGTCATCTTTATGTTTCCTGGCTTTGACTCAAAGACAATGTTGCAAAGATGAAAATCTCAGGTCCACATAATTTATTGTTGGACAGGTTAAGTTTTTGAGATACCATGGTGACAGGCAAACACTAAGAGGGGAACCCCACAGCACTGAGTTCTGTGGGGGTGGAGAGATTTCAGATCAGACTCAGTGTTTTAGTTATTACGGTTAAAAGAAAGGCCTCTGAGTCATAGTTACAGTCACCAGTGCAGCCCTGGTAGAATGCTCTCTTTAATGCGTGCTTGATGCACGCAATGGTTGGAAACTCATGAGTAATGGGACTTTACTATCTAGCTGAAAACATTTACCAGAAATACACAACACCTACCTACTGTAGAGCATCTGTGTCTTGACAGTCCGTTGTTATTCTGATGTTTAATCTAAAGTTCAGTTTATATTGTATTAAAGCAACAATATCCAGTCCAACATGCAGCTACTCTTCCTGTAATTACACTTGCCTGTTAGATCCTCCTCTGCCGTAAGCACTTCCCCTCCCTGGATGAGTTCCGTCGACTGGTCCCGCTTCCCTCTCACGTCTGATTCTGTCTCCATCTAGATGATGCGTTCAAGTGTTACAGCGACAAACTCAAAGTTTAACTTAGTAGAGGGCAGTTCTCTGCCAGGTGTGTCTGCAACGACCTGTCTGCCCACGTAGCAGCCGCTGAGTTGCGGCGAGGTACAGCAGCCATAACTGGCCAGCCAACATATTGTAGAGTTCGCTGAAGAAGTATGCAAGATTAGCCGTGGACAGACACAGAGGTGCACACTTACTCATTCACAGACTCACTCACGCACCCACTCACAGAGGGTTGCACACACGCGACCGATGTCATGCACACTGTGACAACAGCCCCAGATGCTCGATGTCACTACAGTAGAGCCGAACACATAAATCTCATTATCACATTAACACCCAAAGATCCTTAAAATCACCCACGCTACTTTATTGTTAACGTTAGTGTTTTTTTAATGCCCATTTGTTTGATTAATTACCATATTTATTCTTCAGTTTTTCCAATTTACATAAATATTTTAGCCATTTCAGTTCATCAGTAACATTTACAGTCAGAGCAACCGTCAATAACAAAACACAATTGTGCGAGAGATGTCAGTGAATGACTTTAAATAACTGACTGTTATTAGGACAAAATAAGTTGAATAAAGTTGTGCACGGGTTATTGTTGCTTGATTAGAACAAGTTTGACATCAGAAGAATACAATGTGTCAGAGTCTATATATCAACATATTGCATCGCATAACGACAACAATCTGAGTGAGTCAACACTAAACAACACGGCCCAATCGATATATGTGCATGGCTGAGATTATTTGCGTATTTTGGTTTATTACAGATACAGTATATTGGCGCTTTAACTGTGTACCAATATACAGACACAGTGGGCTACCACTGGAAACTGCTAACCTCGCTCTCAAGATACGACATGTTGAAGCTTTAGATGGTGCTGGTGGGCGGGGTTTGGACCGAGCCAGACCAGCTGTTACCCCCTGATCCAGGCTTTGTGCTAAGCTAAGCTAACCAGCTGCTGACGATAGCTTACATATTTACTGTAGTAGTGTCAGTTTTCTCTGAAAGCAATAAACCGCAATTCCCCAAAAAGTCAAACTTTTCCTTTAACGCTCAAATATCAGTATTGTTATTGTCCTCAAGAGTCCAGTGTCAATCAGGCTCTACTGTACAACCCATGTGACTGCAACAGACTAATAACAGGTCTTAAGGTACATTACATGGTCAAACAATAGTACTAACAATGAAAACTGAGACCAAAGTTCTGTCTCTACCTTCATGAACAGAACTCCATGTTCATTTTCTCAAAGATTTAAATTTTTTCCCTATATCCGCTGGAACCTTCATTAACTGCTTGAGGAGTTTCTTGCCTGGTTTAGGAGACGGACGTTTGTTTTCCGTCTCTTGCACATAAATGCTTTCTGCCCGGGTGTTTTCACGGTACCCGGAGTGGCTCCTTCCCCTCAAGGAGCCGACAGGAGCCGGCGTAGCGATGGCGCCGCTATCCCTCTCGGTGTTCTTGCGACTGATTGGCGGCAGAGAGCTGCTCCTCCTCCTGGAGCTTTTCTCCGACGTCCTCCCCGTACGGTCGACGGGCCTACCCAGCAGCCTCTGCTTTAACTCGTAGCTTGCGGCGGACGGGCCTATCAGGTGAAGCGTGTCGTTCATCGGCCACACGACCACTGAAAGGTGAATGTTTCTCTCTTTCTGAATCCTCTTCAAAAGAGCCTTGCCGTCCCGATCCATGTCCTTCAGAGGAACCTCCTGTGTGCGCAGTGATTTGCTGAGATCATCCAGGAGGCTCTGCAGTTTACCGGCAGCTGTTCTCGCGCTCTTCCCCAGTAAAGTGACGTCGCAGCTTTCGCCGACTTCAAGCACTTTCATTTCCACATGATGGCTGACCCGAATGTCTTCAATGTCCTTCTTCCGGAGCTGCTCTGCGTACCTCCACACATCTACATCAACGATAAAGGACTCTCTTCCAGGCCTGAAGGAGCCCCGCTGGTCTGGTGGTGGAGAAAACAAAGCTCGGGACTCTGGAGAGGATGGATGTGTGTAAGGTGAGGAGGCGTTGGCTGAAGACTGAGAAGCCCACGGAGACTTGCTTCGGCCTCTGTTACCACCTGACACCGAGCTGTTGCCGGCGGGGCGTTTGGAACTGGCTCCAGAGGAAGCCTTTGGGACCGCCGGGATGGTTTTTGAGCTAAGAAGCGGCTCCAAAGAGGCCTTCGCGGCCTTGAGATCCAAAAAGGACCCCTTCACACGCACCTGATCGCCGCTCAGATCCATCAGCGCGAAGCCATGCGACCTGAGGATGTCTCGCACCTTCACTTTATCGGGGAAAACGTCCAAGTGCACCGTTGCCTCCACCGGTAAATCCATCTGAGAATGACAGGTGGAAAAACACGCCAACAGGGTGGTGCATGAAGAGCCTGCAGACAAACAATTCTGAATGGGCAAAGGATCAATCTGACCTAACACGATGTGTGAGCTCAGCTACCTCAACACTCTCAGGTGCTTCCAATGTTAAATGCTGTTGTTGATGATTCACCTCCAACACATGGGAGCTCTTTGGTGAGACTGTAACCAAATATTAACTCGATTTTTTTGTATTCTATTAAATTCTCATTTTGATTCTAGAATGATTAAAGACTGCACTGCTACTGAAACCTAAGAGCCTCTATAATATATACAGTCTACGGTACCACTAGTAACATTATTTGCAACTCCTACTGACGCCCAGTAGATGGCGTTAAAGAGCACAGATGTGGAATTTATTTTGTGTGTAGACTGGAACTTTGAGGAACACGCTTGTTGTTTAAATGGCTGTTGGGCTTTTAATGACTTTAATGTTCCTCACTGTGACTTCCTGTCGGGCTCCTCAAATGTGACGCTTCCCCCTCAGCACCTCCTCCTCCTCCTCCTCCGTGTTTGGCTGTGAGGAAACAATGAGACACTGTGACAGCAGAGATAAAACACTTTGTATTCTTCACATTGTCCGGTTTGTTCATGCGAGGTAAAGGCATTTCAAGGCTGCATGAAACTTTAATGTTGGGGCGTTTCATCGAAACAGAAAGTGATTATTTTCTCAGCTGCGGCTTCTAATTAAACTTCTGTACATTTAAAACAAGTTCCTTGCCTGTAAAAACAGTGACTTCGCTTTGAAAAGTGATGAGAAGTTACACTCTTTGCAAAGGAAAAGTACTAGGTAGCTTAACTAGGTAGCGCGTGAACTTAACTAGCTAGTGTTCACCTTAAAGCGAACATCCCGCAGTAAATACTACATGAGTAAATACTACATGACTCGACACGCGGAAGGTCTCAGTTACATTCATAACTTACTTTACACCTCATTCCTGTCAACTTCCATGACTTCACTATATTTTGTATCAGTGCGGATGAAACCGAAAGTAATTTCGTCATTTCCGCTACATATTTAGTTTCCTGCATTTCAAAATAAAACAAAATAAAAGCCTTGACATTTTTTTTTTTTTAAAGTAAAATAAATCGACATACATTCTCCCATGATCCATCAATGAGTAACCACCAATAAGCCCAAAGAATGAAAACAAACCAAGTAAAAAATACCAAGGAGGATTCTTCTGTTTACCTCAAGTGATCCTGTTCTACAGTACACACATGGTGCAATATCACCCTCACGTGGGTCTGTAAGTGAATTACAACTTTCAGAATTATCTAAACTCAGTATTTCAAACCAAGATGTCCTCAAATGTTTTGCTTTTTTTAAGTGAGTAATTTACAGGATATTATCTTCAAGGCTTGTTGCATTCAGATTTGACGCGATTACATTTGGATTTCTGCAAATTAAAATATGAATGCAACTGTTCCCCAGACGTTTATTTTATATATATATATATATATATATATATATATAAATAAATAAATAAATGACAGGTCTGTTGAAACCACTTCAGTCTTGTCAGTCAGCAGGAAGATCAGTAATAAATACTAAAAAGCTGCATTTGTCATCTAATTGAAAGATGACGTTAATGCATCGTGTTCGCATTAAACCTTTCCAGTTTCAGGATTATACTTTTAAACTAAATCCTTACTACAAATATAGCCAAAATGATGGTGCATGGTTGCATTTGTTTAATTTTACACACTATCCAAGAATTATTGAAACAAAGTTTGACCCATAAAGAACACAGACAACACATGCTAAGCACCAAGTCATTTGACCCTAATGTTCTTTAATAACTTGTGTGCCCAGCCCCCCTCCATCGCGCTGTACGGTGTTCTACGATGGTAATAGGGCCTGTGACCCACTCGTCTTTCTCCCGTACCATCATCACGGTTAGTCTGTTAATCTGGTTGGATAAGTGAACCCCGGTGGAACTCAACTCAGCCTCGACCTTGCTGCGTTGCTCTGGTCCAAAATGCCGTCCGACACCACCAGCGACCAGTCAGGAGACAACCAGCAATCACAATCAATACAGACGTAATCATCCTGGCCAGAGACTGGATACTCTAACGAAAGAGACACCAATTCCATTCTTCAGACCACTCAAACATGAACTGTTCAGTAGCTAAACTAACCCACTCATTACACAAAACGGTGCACAAGATCTAACTTTTATAGAAGACCAGGTGAGACATTCTGAGAATATGTTCCTTTATTGATTTTGGACTAATACATTTTAGTTATAGAGCACTTTTCAGGATACTCAGACACTTTATAAACATTTAAAAAAAAAAAAAATCATAAAAAGATATACACTAAAAACATAGAACACATTAAAAGCAGTTGTGAAAAGGTGAGTTTTGATTTGAACATGGAAAGATCGGTGCTGTCTGGGATGCGTTTGGTGAGAGAGTTCCAGAGGGAGAGGGCAGCTATGGAGAAGGCTGTCGCCCCATGTCCGGTGCACAAGTAGAACAGAAATTAACTTTACTGCAAATGTACAAGTACAAGTGTGACCTCAGCAGATGAACTGGTTCTCCAACTCAGATGAAATCTGCAAATAAAGAAAACATTATATCAAATTCTTCGTTGTAAAAGAAATATTCAGCCTGTTGGGAGGAATACTGTATCCTCACCTGCTTCAAAGTCCCGTCATGTTTGTGACCGCTCTTTAGTTTGCAGGTTCAATGAGGAGCCACAACATGGATCCACATGGTCACTGGTAAACTCTGCTCAGTGAGGCCGGCTGGAAGCTGTGAAACTCTCTGAATCTCCCGCTCCTGTAAAAGCAAAGAAATGGATTTAAGTCGAGTCAATAGACGACACTGAAGCAGCACGCCAAACACGTCGTCCAGCTCGAAAACCCAAGACGATAAATGTTGGAAGTTTACCTATAACCCCGCCGTGAAGAATCACAGCCAGGCCTCAAACAACCTCACGTCTCTCTAGCAGACACTAAAGGAAAGAACAGAGCCACTGCAGGCTGAGCCTCGCTGGATAAGGTCTGCACGCGTCCAAAGCAATGTCGCAGTAACATGACTAACGGCTCATTTCAGGCCAGGTGTTGTCTGTACATTATATAAACTAAACTTACTTTTTCAGCTCAAAGTCATCCTTGAGCAGCAGATGTCCAGTCAGGAGGTCTGAGCTTCATCTCTGCAGTGGGAATTCTCCCATCAAGGTGTTCACAACTAAGAAAACAGCAAACAGAATCAAACGTGTGATAGCTCACTTTACACAATAACCGGATGCTTCCAGTGAACAGGTTGCAGGTTGTCTGAGGTTTACCTATAACCCTGCCGTGAGGAGCCACAGCAGGGCCTCAAACGGCCTCAGGTCTCTCTAGCAGACACTACAGGAAAGGACATAGCCACTGCAGGCTGGGCCTCGCTGGATAAGGTCTGCATGCGTCCAAGGCAATGTAGCAGTATTGCAAGTACGCAACATGACTAACAGCTATTTCAGGCCAGGTGTCATCTTTACATTTAAAAATAAACAAATAATAAACTTACTTTTTTCAGCTCAAAGTCATCCTTGAGCAGCAGATGTCAAGTCAGGAGGTCTGAGCAGGTCTTCATCTCTGCAGTCCTGTTTAAAAAAAAAAAAAAAAGTCTTACTCCAAGTACTGGGCATTGTTACACAATGTACAATAAAAAGGTCACATCAACTATTATGTGGCATGAAGTGATGAAACTTTAACAGCCTACATAAGGCAATTATGAGCGGAACGTGATGCACAAATTTGTAGTTTGTCTTGACATTATGAAGTAATCTATGTTGCTAACAGAATTGTGTTAAACTGTTGGGGAAAAGATGCTCATTTTGCAAACAAACATTTGTAATGTCTTCCCACTAAAATGATGTATTGAAAATATACCCATGCCAAAGTAGTACATTCACATTCTGATCTTAACATCATCAGTATTCTATAGATCAGTGCTGACCAGCTGAAAACAGCTGTCGTGTGACTTCTTAACCCGAGATAGATTTCCACACAAACGGTCACAAATGTCAACATGCCTTCTAAATAGTGTGCCATTTATTTTTGCCTCACCAAAGTTGCAAATGTAAACAGATAAAGTAGTGAAATCTGCTGATACAAACTTAAGCAAATCTGGATACCTGCAGACTCGTCTCCTCGTGGCACATGGTCTCCTCGTGGCACATGGTCTCCTCACATGGTCTCCTCGCTGCTTCATGGAATTCTCCCATCAAGGTGTTCACAACTAAGAAAACGGAATGAAAACAGAATCAAACGTGCGATAGCTCACTTTACACAATAACCGGATGCTTCCAGTGAACAGGTTGTCTGAGGTTTACCTATAACCCTGCCTTGAGGAGCCACAGCAGGGCCTCAAACGGCCTCAGGTCTCTCTAGCAGACACTACAGGAAAGGACATAGCCACTGCAGGCTGGGCCTCGCTGGATAAGGTCTGCACAGTTCACATTACACAGAAAACTGTCGAAAGTTTAGAACTAAGCGTTTGCATGTTTCCTGTGACAGCACACGTACCGTGCTCATCACGATGCAATGCATTCCTACGGGCTGGGAGATGCATTAGTACCAAGTGGTCAAAATATCTCTACATTTTAAAATGTATATATATTTGTCTACCTCGACATCTTGATGTTTGACGTTAAAAACACGTCTTCGTTCCATTAAACAGAAAATAAGTAACGGCTGTTTAAAAACTGGCGTTTGTGATAAAACTAGCAGAAGTAGCACCGCCCGCATTTCCCCGACTTTAGACGATTAGAAATACAATTTCAACAACAATACCGCCATTTCATCACAACTATACGCTTCAAATAACATTTCAAGAGGTCAGAAACTTTATACATTTTAAAATTTAGTTTGGATGGAGACGGATCATTTTCATGTATGTTACCTGTCTATACGTCCGCTGTTTTCTCAACTGAACGAACTACCCGGATGTGACGTGTTTTAAATCAACGCATGAGGTTGCCTTCTTCTTCTTCTTCTTCTTCTTTTGCTTTTAATGGCGGTTGGCAAACAGCTTTCGGGTGCATTACCGCCACCCTCTGGAGCGTGGAATAAGGACCCTAAAATAATGAACCAAACGAAAGGAAACTAATTATATTAATTAGTTTTGTTGACCCTAAATACTCTAAAAGAAGTTTCCCACATGTCTCACTTTTCTTTAGTACGTTACTGATATTTTCCTCTTTCCACTAACATAGAGGGAAGTGTTTAGACCAGTATGACCATTCCTTAGTCTAGAATCCTCTCCTCTTTCCTATTTCGTCCACTAGATCCTGCACACCCCAACGCAAACCAATTTTATTTTTGGATTTGTCCCTTAATCAATACTTTAGCTTCTGACTTACTTATATTTACATTAATGTTATTCCTCCCACTCTTCAGAGCCCTTTTCGCTGCTTTATCCGCCTTCTCATTCCCATCAACTCGAACATGGGCAGGGACCCTCACTAAATTAACAAACAGCCGCATTTGATGGAAGGAGGAATAGCTGGCAGAACCACAGTGGGAGAATAACTTCTATCCAGTAAACCCAATTCACTATAGCCTTCTTCTTTACAACACAACCAAAGCTCTTAGTTGGCCTTTGTTTCATGTTCCAGCACGGCTCAATAGAACTTATCGTCTGATGGTTGTTATCTGCTTGTAAATTGACCCCATATGTCATGCATGATCTTCAGTCTTCTCAACTAGTTGCATTTTCCCTCATTTCTACCTACAATTCAGGCACAGATGTTGTTTTAAAAGCCCCACTACATATCGTAATGCTTGTGCTTATATTACATCAAGTTTTCCCAACAAGGTTTTATATGTGTAGCTTTCAAAGCAGACCTGTCAGCTCCGCACTCTGTTCCAAGCATCTCATGAGATTTAAAACCTTCCTAAGAGGTTTTCCTTCTTCGTTTCCTCCTTCTTCTATACGGTCTATGGTTTTCTCTGAGGTTTTACGGCAGTTCACATGGTCTGCCAGCAGGGGGCAATACAATTCCAAAGATGTTTGAATCTGAGTTTTACATCTTTGATGTTGTGGTGATGATCCGTCTATAAACTGACCTTTTCAATACAGGGGGGGGGGGGGGGATTTGTTACAGAATCTGGTAAGAAAAGTTGAACTAAAAAAACAAATTGATAATTCTAAAACAGTCTCACTCACTTCCTCATACTAGACATTTCACAATGAGAACAAATGGGAAAAAATAAATCTTCACTTTTAACTTGAAGTACAAAACAAAGGGCGGAATAGATATTTCATAAATTATGATCACATGGTTTAAAAAGTACTTCTCATTTCCCCATGTGGACTGATAACATGAAGGTTTGGCACACTGCAGCTTATTTATAGGACAATTTATGATAAAATATAGATTTTTGTATTGGGGGGGGCAAAGTTGTTGGGTTTTTCAAATATTATTGACAGGTGTAATTGAGCAACAATTTCCCAAATTGGTTATACAGGATACATAGTGTGTATATAAAGTGTTTAGAAGCACCCACAGAGCATCTCTACTGCACGTGGGAGGGCTGTCATAACCCAGCGGACAGCCGATGCTGGTGGGAGTCGGGAGCGTCCACGAGGAGGGCGCTCGTGGTGGATGACTCAGACCGCAGTTGCCGTACAACAATACGAGCCATAGAGGAGCAGACTCCTGCCTGGGCCGCACCATCGGCAGACGTCCGCCATGAATTTCAGCTTTGTTTGCCCGCAGCTGACGTGTGTGTCGCATGCAGATGAAGAAAACGCACAATCCCAATCTGTGTTTGGACCCAAACATGAGCCGGTTCAGCTGCTCCTCGGACGCTTACAGGGAAAAGTCTGTGTCTCTTATCAAAGCAAAAGTGGCGCCATCGCAGATCTGGGCTCTGTTGGAGCATTCAAATAAGAAAAGGCCAGGGTGTGCCGTCCAGATTTGATCTCTTCCAATAACTCTATTTCCACCATGTGCCTGGATTCATCCTATCAGAAAAACAGAAACAGAGGCCTACAAAACAAGCATGAACAAATGAGATCATCCGCACATCTCAGCCTCCGGGCAGATTGTTAAAATAGCTCAAAGACCAAAAAGCTTCTCCAAAAATGAGATTAATTTCATATCAGTGGTTATGTCACAGCAAGACAGGGGCTGCTGAGAACACCGAGGACAGGCCCTCTGTAGTTTGTGGGTGGAACCCTGATCTAATTCAGCATTTTAATTCATCCTAAATCTCGAGGCCAACTAAGTTAAAGCTGCACCATATCAATGTGTTTACATGAATAATCTGTGAATAACAGCTACATAATGTGAGACTGAGTCCGATTTGTATCAGAGTGTGTGATCAGCTGACTGACATCGCCACACTCTAGGTCCTATGCCACCTCGTCTGAGAGATGCTGTAGTTAATAGTTACCTTTTTTAAAAACAATTTAGTCTAAATAAGTGACACAAGTTGCCAGACCCCTGGAGGAAGTCTTCAATTAGCTGTTTTTTTTGTCCAATTTACAGTTCAAAACACAAAAATATTGAATGTACAACAAAAAAAACAGACAAAAGCAAGAAATCCTCACATTTGAGAAGCGGGAACTTGCAAATATTTGATACTTCTGCATGATAAATGAATTCAACTATTAAGCAATCATCAAACACGCACACAATTTGTGTTAATATTTCATTAATATGTGTATTTTGATCCATTCAGGAGGCAGAGATGTTTCAGATTCTGGAAAGTTGAACTATTAAAAAAACAAATGATGCCACATCTTCTAATCTAACAACCTGTCTCTGTTCTGACTTTAATGTTTTCTGACGAGGACCCTTCAGTCCAGTCCGGTCCCGACTCGGATGGCAGGAACACAAGCTGAGGCTCCAGCTGCTTCGGGAGCAGGACGGCCTCTCTTACGAAACCCTGCGGCGGCCCGAGAGGCTTTGTTTGAGGATAATTGAGGGTTTGATTCGGACTTCGGGGGTTTTAATGAGCCTGTAATCCTTTTCACCTGATCCCTGAAACAAGGTGAAATACCTCACGTGGTGGAGAAAAGGAGGATCATAATGCCAGTGACCAAAATGAGCTCCACCTCTACTAGCTATCACTAATTATAATCCAGTAATATAATATACTGTTGTATTGATTCTGAATAATGATTCTGAGTCGGCAGAATAAGTACTTCTACTTTCAGTATATTTTAATGCTGATTCTTTTTAGCAACATCTTGACTACAGGAGTTTTACTTGAGTATTTCTACAATGTAGTGCGTATTGCTACTTTATATATAATATTACTTCTTCCAGCCCTGCAGTGTCAGTCAGAGTTGTAGTTATATCTTTGAACTTATATGCATTAATAATAAATAAGTGCTGGCTACTTTAATGTCCTCTCTAAAATTCTTCAGGCTAGCAGAGGTTTTCGGGAAAACAAGATGTGGAACAAGGATTTAGCAGTATTTGCTAAAAGGCAAAGTGAATATAAGAGTATATTCATCAGGTGAATAACACTGCTCATCTGGAACAGCTGGATGTGTAAATAAGCAGCTGTTTGCTAACACGCTCCTCAAGCTATAGGATCTCTGCTACGCCCTATGATGAAGATCTTCTGAACTGTGCGTTCCAATACTCATACTAGCATACTATTTAGTATGCAGGAACAATATTTAGTGTGTCCCATTACATAGTATGTCAAATGCAGTAGGCCAAAAACACCAGAATGTCCTACTGCGTCTGGTGGCATTTTGCAGTACGCAAGCCAGCACGCTTTCCTGGCTACTCGCAGCAGATATATGAGCACGAGGGTCAAAGTTCAAGGAAGTAGTTTGTCCCATTTAAATGCATACCACATGCAACAGTACATACTTTTGTAGTATGTACTAAAAGTAAAAGTACTAGATTTGGAACACAGCTAGAGTTCAGGAGGTTAAAATCTGTAAATAAGTACATTTACTAAAGCACTGCACTTAACTACACATTTGAGGTACTTGTACTATACTTGTTTACTTACATAAAAACAAACATGTGGTATATGATAAGAAGCAGTACTATACCACTAATCTACCCAATAGTATACACAAATATCTTAAAGTGGTTCCACATTGAGAAGCTACAATATCATTGTTCATACTTTTGTTTGCTCATGATGAGAGCAGAATAATTTAACATTATATCTAACACAACACCACGAGAAGAGCCATTCTGCATAATGAGGACTTTTTACTTTTGATACTTTAAGATAAAACTTTATTTATCCGGAGGGAAAGTGCTGTGCAGCAGTTGGGTACAACGTGGGCAGAGAGTGGAGGATAACGGTAGTACATTCTGCTGACAACACTTCTCGATTCTAAATGAAGGACTTTTACTGGTAGCAGAGTATTTTCAGAGCGGTTTTGCATCTTTTACTTAAGTAAAAATATATCTGAGTACTTCCTCCGCCACTGGAAACAACAACATGGAATGAAAAATGGACACGAAGAACAACGGCACGTATGGACACGAAGAACAGAGCGTCCTCGTGTGTGTGTGTGTGTGTGTAGTCATACTCCAGCGGATGAATTATACTGTTAAGAAGTTTTCCAGTACACGATTTCCCCACCGGCCTGAGTCAGCCTCTTAACGCCTCACTGCGCTCGTCGCACGCAGGATGTTCTCCCCGTGACTCAGCCTCTCAGCTTTCTTTGTCACTGCCCCCCCCCCCTCCCCCTCATGTGTGCCGCCATATCACCTCATGCGACCCCCCTCCAGGGGCCTCTGTGTCTCTTTCACCCTCAATGGCACGGGGGATTACGTCCAGATTACTTAGGGACTTTAGGCTCTCTAACAGCCTTATCACATGACACAGTGTCCCGGCTTCATGACTCTGCAAACACTCTCCATCGCATCTCCACGTTAGCTCTTTTTTTTTTTTTAGGGGCCACGAGATAAATCCACTCTTATCTCAGAGTCTTGTTGTTCCCAGC